ACCTGGCCACACTGCTGGCTCACGTTCAGCCAGCTACTGATCAACACCCGCAGGTCTTTTTCTGTTGGGCAGCTTCCCAGCCACTATCTTAGTTGAAATTGTGTGAACACATTAAATGACAAGCAGATTTCAGTGATTCTGCAGCATCACTACAGCCGATTCCACTGAAGACCCACATTCAGGTTTTCTTTTATCTTAAGTGCTCTGGACTGGCAGCACACAGCAGGTGCTATCGAGAAACCACTTAACCCCTACTTACATCATAAGCTTCTGATCATCAGCCACAGATCCAAACAGAGATTCATGGAGCAGATGCCATGCCACATCTTCTACTACTGCAGAGTGTCCAGTAAAGATTGCTTTTGCATCAACAATTTTGCCTTCTTTTGGTCCAGCATTTACATCCCATAAACACACAGTCTGTAAATAAGATTCATATTCTATGGTTATGCAGACTTCCAACAGTGGTATCTTGAAAACAGATACATCACATTCTACGTAAGTGGAGAAATTGCACTCCTGCTCCTGAACCAGGTGGTTTTGATCCTTCAAGGATTACTTGTAAGGTCACAAAAGTAATTTACAAAAAGCATCTCTATTTCAGTCACTTCTGTTTCACTTTTAAAGCCCCCCGCTCCAACTTCCTAGCTATTAGCCCAACCAATCTTTGAAGGTCTTACTAATTTATGGTCTCAGACCCAAGCCAGTTTAAAGGGTTGGCACACAATGATTTCTTCCAGCAGAAAACTATAAAAACATTCTGTTCTTAGTTCACCAAGAATGTTACAAAGAACTAGGTGTTGATTACATCCTAAGGTCAACTGATAGCCTTTAGAAATACAATTACAATATGAGAGCTTCCTCACATAACAACACACAGCTACATTAACCCAGTTTTTCTCTAATTATCACAGCGTAAATTAGGGGGGTGATCCAGTTCTTTTTTTTTTTTTAAACAGGGGAGAAAATGTGTGTTTTACATGATCGTCTGATGCACTGAGAAGATGTCCACTCAAATTTGAGTTCCATGATAAGCCATAGCCTTCCTTCTGGTGCCCTCTTAATCTAAGGTCAGGATTACACTCTCCGCTTGGGTCTGAAAGAGAGGAAATTCCTTCCATTTAGCTTCACCTTGCACATCAATCCATAGGAGCATCATTAGTACCTCAGATCTCCACTTCCATTGCAATAATGGCATTTCATACACAGAGCCTCATAGAGGAATGCTGCTTCTATGGAGATTCACTTATGATATTGAGGATGACCAGGTAGTTAAAAGTCATCGAAGTAATGAGCTTTCTTATTTGGATTCCAGAGCCCATCACTTCTCCTCATAACTGCACTTAAATGCAAGTTTTCTTTTTCACAAAAGGCATGTTTCTTAACTTCAAAGAATCTGACTCACCTGGTTTTGAAGGATGTTTAGTGTAGTCAAATACCAACACATCAGCAGACGGTGTTTTTGTAGCAATGATGCAGGGATTCTGTGGCATGTAACGAGCACGGTTTACTTCACCTTCATGGTTAATTTTAATCTCCGTTTCGATTTTGCCAGTCACAGATCCAAAGCCACCAAACTCTACAGTTGTCAGAAAAACATCAATTTATCACATCAACAACATTTCAAGCATCTCATCCACTCCAAGAAGCAGTGGTAAGCACCTTCTCATAATGTAATAAAGACTATGAAAGACTAGCACCATGTGGCACAACAGTATTAACACTAGATATTTTGAACCCTTTGTGATAGAAACTAAAGCTCTGAAAGAGTCTCTGTTTGAGGCAGATGGATATCAGTTTTTACCACAACTGACAGAGTTGGTATAAATGTTAGTATGGATTGTGTATCATAACATTACCTACATTATTCTGAAATAAGAAGTTGCCTCTTTTTAGTCACTATTAATGATCTAGAATCAGTGTGAACTGCTAAGTATATGTCAGCTGTAGTATTTAACAGTTATATACCGTTACAGAGGAAAATTATTAATGCCACTGCTAAAACATAATCTTAAGAACGTATGTACTGCCCACCTCCTTTCTCACTGTCATACTGGGAAGCATCAAACTGATCATCATTAGGAATCTGGACTCTTGCAACAACCAGGTGGTTCTGTTCATCAGACGTGTGCGTTCCCAAAACCAGCCAGTGCAGAGCATAATCCTTTCCTTCTGGCCTGTTTAAAATAATAAACGTGTGGAAAAAAAATAAGTGCTCAGCTTCAGAAGTTTGGTAACTAGCATCAGTTAACATTCAAGATCCAAACTTCTTCATGGAGCTAGAAAAGAGAGACTCGCACAAGAGATTCCTTCCTTTGTCACAAAATACTTGTGCAGTACAATGAACTAGACTGACACAAGCACGCCAGGGACACAACAAGCAAGGCTAGTGTGACAATGCAAGTCAGTAAACATTGCCACCATGGCTTAAAAGGCACAATTACAATTTGCACAGTAGATAAAGGTGACTCTAATACCTACTTCTATCTTTAATTCCCCTGGCAGTTGCATAATATTGACTTAGAAAACAATTATTACTGCTCTCTATAGAACACAAATGCTGAGGACAAGTGGCAACCTATTTCAGTTACTTCTCTTAGAAGCTTCTACTAGTTATTATTTTATTTCAAAAGCTTGGGTTTTAATACTGCACAAATCCTAGCTAGCTAGAATCAAATTCCTCTTCTGGCAGTTAAATGCAACATTTAGTGATAAGTGAAAGGCTAGACGGGCAGTGCCACTTCTCTCTGAAAAGAAAAATCTGAACAACAGCCAAATCCAAGCAAATTCTGCATTCTTGAAAGCAACAAACTAATTATGCTGTCTGAATCCAAGCGAATGGGAACCCCTGGGGCTTTTGTAAACCAGTATAGTTATTACTACATCACTTCCAAGGCATCATCATACATTGTAAAGGTGAAAGAAAATTATGAAACAAAGCAAAAAACGCACAATGCACACGCACTTACTTGCATCAGGAACAGGTGTCCCATCATGTCAGGTGCCATACAAAGAGACAGTCCTTGCCTTAAATGGCTTACATATTTTGACACTGGATAATTGAAAATACCAGGTTTTAAACTGAATAATAAGTCAATCTGCAAAATATGAGGCAAGCAGAAGTGTTCCTCATAAGGGCTCCGCACCCTCACACCCCCACTTCATTTTCTCCATGCCACGACTAGTTAGCTCACACCTCTCCACACCTTCCCCAAACATTCTGTTCTACAAAATTAAGTGATCACCAAGTATAACATCACATGCGTAAAGTGGAATTTTAAAGAGGAAAAAGACCATCCTCTGATTATTGCATAAATTTTATATATACGCTATTTTTAAACCTGGCTGTATCCAATTTAGAACAACATGAGGAACTCAGTCCTTGTCTGCTACTTAATGGAGCCCTGAGTGTTCACTGCAACAATTTAAGTCCTGTAGTGGCTAGACCACGAACAGAATCTATCCCCATGTTCAAAATTCTTTAAGAAAATAACCAGTGAGCCCACAATTTTCAAGGAAAGGTGGAAAAATTAAAATATGTGACATCAACAGTGGGCCAGGGACAGAACCAGGATGTGAAGCATCAGTCTTGGAAAAATATCCTCTTAAACAGAAGTCCAGACTTGAAACAAAAAAAAATCAGAGACAGGTACAGTAGCTTCTACAAAACAGTAATTTGCAGTGCAGGAGGAAAAGCGGTTTAGAAGAAAACTGATTTAATACACAGATTTCTCTGATCAGAATTAACTATAAGTGTTAGGTTTGTCATATATCAATCGAGAAAGATTTCTCGCCTCACAACATCTGTGCTAGGCTAAGCTAGAGTTCTGTAAAGTATCAAAGTATGCCCTTTTCCCCAAAAAGTTTCCGCATACTCATGGGGTTTTTAAAAGTTGTAAGCAAAGCATTACAAGCTCACACAGAGGAGTCTAACCCAGATTATTCTCATCTTGCACCGCTTTTATCCTCAAGCAGGCAGGGTTAACAGAAAGAGCCGTGAAACAAGCGACTACACGCAGTTTCAGCTCCCACTCTGCACACTAAGCACACCAGCAACTGCGCCCT